TTCGATCATTTCTCCATCGCACCCCGGTACAGAAAATTCCCTACGAAAAAAACACTGCAATCTCGGAATCACCATATTTCTAATTTTTGATTTCATTTTAATATCATAATTTTTTACTAATTTTTGATTTCATTCTAATATCATAATTTTTTATGTTGAATTCTGTGTCTTTGATGAATTCACGGATCAATTCGTTCTTTTTATTTCCAACGGGAAGATTTGTGACATCTTTGACTTATTTATACTGAAGAGGACTCAAGTAGGGTCAAAACGTTTATTTATTATTTCTTGTTGATATTTATATTGCGGATTTTTGTTAATAAAGTTCCTACATTGCTCGTTTAAGAGACCTGTTTTTTTCTTTTATATATTACTACTTCAGTTTTTAGCCCATGTCCACTGATTCGGTCCACTGTGCGGCGTCCGGTACCATGAAAGGGGCTAAGGGACAGACTCAGTCGGGGCGGGACGCAGGTCGCCACCTCTCTAAAGTAGGGAAGCACCCCGCTCGGCGGCCATTGTTCTTACTGNTTCAGCGGAGCCTGGTGCGGAAGAACTAAAGGATGTGATGTCGTATGTGCGGAGTAAAATTATTCTCACGGACTGCGGCATCACAGATATTTGCCTAAGAAAGGCGATTACTGGGGGCCTCATCATTGAGGTCCCAGGGAAGGACAGTGAGGCTAAAGCAGATCAGCTTTACGCCGCGATGTCTCCCCTGGTTGCAGAAAAAGGGGCTAGACTCACCAGGCCAATCAAGACGGTAGAGGTCAAGATCAAGGGCCTTGATGAGTCTATCTCCCCTGAAGAGATTAAGAATGCAGTAGCATCCGCCGGGAGTTGTCGGTCGACCGACGTAAAGGTCGGCCGAGCTCGCGTTTTCTCTAGCGGACTGTCCACCGCATGGATGCAATGCCCNGTAGCCGCGGCACGGAAGATTGTGGCGGCCGGAGCATTGCACGTGGGTTGAGTACGCGCACCCGTAGAGGTATTGGAGCGGAGACCTCTCTAATGCCACAAGTGCCTCCGGCGAGGGCACGTTGTTGCAACGTGCACATATACCGCGCCGGGGGAGGATAAGAGGGGTCGGTGTTACCAATGCGGTGGTCAGGACCATAGAGTGTCGACGTGCACGTCGGCACCTAAATGTCCGCTGTGCGCGGACCTTGGTCGCCCGGCAAACCACCGCTTGGGCAGCAAAGCGTGCACTCCGGCCCCCCGCAACAACAAGCGGGACACCAAGACCGCTGCACGGGGTGGTACCCAGCCCACTCAAGTGGAAACCCCCGCCGTGGTGCAATGCACCCCGGCGGAGAGTGAAAGGATGGCAGCATCCCCTCTTCCGAGTAATACCCAGGAGGAGGAGGCAGTGGACGGTGTCGTAATGGCTCTCCTATTCCAAGGAAACCTCAACCACGCCCGCGGGGCCCAGGATCTAATGACCCAAAGTCTCGCGGAGCTGGGGGGAGCTCTTGCTGTCGTGGCCGAGCCCTACTCCGTCCCTGATCACTCATCATAGCTGGGGTCGGAGGACGGCTCGGTGGCACTATATTATTGGTGGGGATCGAGAGCTGAGTCCGTCTTCTCCCCTCTGGAGAGAGGAGAAGGGTATGTAACAGCTGAGTGAGAGGAACTGGTCGTATTGAGGGGTTATTTCTCACCCACGAGACTCTTTCAAGATTTCGAAGCGTACTTAGGCGAGCTCGAAAGGGTGGTGCGCCGCTACCAAGCCCGCCCATTGCTAGTCCTGGGGGACTTTAACTNCAAGTCCGAGACTTGAGGCTCCCCCAGGACCGACGCTCGAGGAAGGGCTGTCGAAGGTTGCATGGCGGCCTGCAGTCTCGTTGTACTGAACGAGGGCACACAATACACGTGCGTTTGACGCAACAGGGGGTCTATTGTCGATGTGACCTTTATTTTTCCGTCCGCCGTGCGTCGTGTGTCCGAGTGGAAGGTCAGGGATGATTTGGACCCTCTCTGATCATTGTTACATAACGATGAGGGTTTCCCCGCTCCCTGATCAACCCCGGGGTCGCCATGGGGTGAGACAGAAACCCCGTTTCCAGGGGTGGGTCCTTAAACAACTGGACCCACGGATCCTGTCCGCCACTGCTCAGGTCGCGGCTTGGCCAGCTCCACCGGCCGAGCCACGGACCTCCGAGCAGAACTTTGGTGGTTCCGGGAAACTCTCGCGATGATCTGCAAAGCGGCCATGCCGCGATCCCGCGGACCACCAAATCGGAGGTCGGTGTACTGGTGGACGGAAAAAAAATAGCCAATCTTCGGATTGAGTGCGTCCGTGCCAGAAACCGGTATACCCGCGCCCGTCGCCGGAAGATTGGCGACGTAGTTGTGCAAGCAGCAAAGGCGTACGAGGGCTATCGCGATGCGCGCAAAGCCCTGCGTACGTCCGTAGCTAAGGCAAAGTCCAAGGCGTGGGATGAGCTCTTTGAAACAATCGATGCGGATCCATGGGATCCGGTTGGTAATGAGCAAACTGCGCCCATGGATTCCGCCGATCACTGAGAGTCTTGACCCCCAGCTACTGGAGAGGATCGTGTCTACCCTTTTCCCGGATGGGAGGAGCAATCGGCNCTCCTAGGAGCCTGAGTTAGACCAACCGGTAGAGTGGTCCAATAAATTGGGGNTCACGGAGAAGGAACTTCGTCGGGCCGTTTGTCGGATGACGCGGAAAAACACCGCGCCTGGCCCTGACGGCGCACAGTGGTCCAAAATCCCGAAAACTGGCCAAAAATAAAAAAATGAATTTCACATTTTTAAAAATGTTATTATTGTTTTGGGAAAAGGACTAAATTCCCCACTACATGATGCAAACCCTAGTGTTATATCTCGTATACCTGAAATTCAGGTTCAGTTCAAAGTTGCTCTTCGCACGGAACAGTCGTGACAGCCAAAAATAACGACGATTTTAGTTGCGTGGTTTTGTCNTCACGGAGAAGGAACTTCGTCGGGCCGTTTGTCGGATGACGCGGAAAAACACCGCGCCTGGCCCTGACGGCGCACAGTGGTCCAAAATCCCGAAAACTGGCCAAAAATAAAAAAATGAATTTCACATTTTTAAAAATGTTATTATTGTTTTGGGAAAAGGACTAAATTCCCCACTACATGATGCAAACCCTAGTGTTATATCTCGTATACCTGAAATTCAGGTTCAGTTCAAAGTTGCTCTTCGCACGGAACAGTCGTGACAGCCAAAAATAACGACGATTTTAGTTGCGTGGTTTTGTCTTTATATTTCGAAAACAGAGGCTGGAAATCAAGTTTTGTAAAATGGATTCCATTCCTGGGGGTATGTGCAATAAAAAATAATATCAACAATTTTTTTTTTATGTAGTACTAATATAGTTTTTGGATTGAATCTTAGTCTTTAAAAAATGATATATTTTGAAAGAATTAAATTTTCAAGTAACCAAATAGTTATATATTCCATCATATTCCGACATCTTATTAATATCAGTTTGTAGTGTATACTTTCCTCTTTTGAATCATTATTAATATAGCTGCTTTTACCTGCTTTTGGAGAANTGCGACATGTTTATGTACGAGCGCGTCGCGCTGTTCGTAACGGTCGCTTTCCTGCAAACATGCCAACAGATCAAATTCAGGGTCGGATTTAGATATTTGCCGCTTAGGGCTAAAAAGTAATAGCTACGCTTCTTAAAATCTCGTCATTTCGCTTACTTCTACTTTTTTATTTGCTGATCTTTTTTTTGTTCGATTTTTAGTTGATTAGAAGTATTAAATGTAGGATTTTTTCCCGATTCTGGCGCTCTTACATTCTGCCGCCCTGGGTTGTAGCTCATTTAGCCCCTGCCTAAATTCGACCCCAAGGTCTTTTATTATGTGAGTATGGTCGTGTCGTATAGAATGGACCTTCCACTAGTTTTGGAATGACTCTCTTTTTTTGGCTCGAGATAAGGAGACAAAACGATAAAACTCTGCGTCACACTTATGAAATATTTTTTTTGTTTGATATACTTTATACGTCATTTTAATCTTTTGCATAGAAGTGAATTTTTTAAGTTAATAATTTTTTTATGTCAAAAATGTAAATTTTATTTGTTATAAAATATAATTTATATAATTTCAATAATTTTTAAAGAATTAAAATAATTTCCAATAATATTTCTAATAAATAATGTCTAATACATATTTTTATACATTTAAATAACTGTGCAAATGCACATTAAAGTTTATTTTAATGTTCTTAAGTAACTGAAGACGANGAGATAACTTTTAAAACTACAATAATTTTTTATGAAAACATTATATTGACAGTGAATAATTTCATTATAGGATCGAACAGTAACGTTATTATATGCAGCAAAGACNAACTATTCATGATAATACGAAATCATTTGAAGAATGGCTTATCCAAACAAATTGAGATTTTGGAAACTGCGTGGACAAACAAAANGAACCGAAGTGTAGTCATACATGAAGATGTAAAGTCTACTCTCACTAAACTTTTCCATACTATNAGAACAATGTGGCATAGCAGCAACAGACACGAGAAGACATTTAAGAAAAAATATAAAGATTGGCTGTCTGGATTAATACAAATCCCATTTTACGACAACAAAATTCTGTCATCGCAATTAAAGCAGCAAGGTCGCCCATTCTTAGAATTTTCTGCAATGAGCGATCGATCTAAACGCAGAAAAACTGAAGAACTCCGAACATCAAGCACTACTGAGGAGTTAGTATACGTTACTCAAATGAGCCTTCGCTCATCAAAGCAATGCGAAGCTTCAAAAATTCTTAAGGATATAACATTGACAACCCCTACAAGAGCTTCAAAATATATAACAGCTTATACATCACGAGTTGAAANAACATTGACTGATGATGAAGCACTTTCAGTCCTGGTTGAATATAAGTTCTCGAAACGTACTTACCAGGGAATAAGAAAAGTAGGCAAGGAGAATTACTGTAAATTGTATCCATCTTACAATAAAACATTAAGAGCAAAAAAGCGTTGTTATCCACTTCGTACGAGCATTACGATCACAGAGATTAGTGCAGAAGTAAAATTGCAGGTTTTATTAGATCATACAATAAATCGTATTTTGTTTCTTCAAAAGGGAGTGATTGGTACTTTAACCACGGAGAATGTTAAGAATATGTATTTGATTTGCAAGTGGGGTTGTGACGGAAGCTCTGGACAAAGCGTTTACAAACAAAAGTTAAACGCAGACGGCATATCAGATGAAAATGTGTTTTTCACCTCACTTGTGCCATTACAGCTTGTTTGTAAGGACCAGAAATCGAACACCGAAATTGTTGTCTGGAAGAATCCTAGACATTCGTCTCCTCGATTCTGTAGACCGATAAGACTGCAGTTTCTGCATGAGAATGTTCAGTCAACAATAAAGAAAGTCGATGACATTGAACAACAAGCGAAGTCACTTGTTCCTTTTATANCACAAATACATGGAATGGAGGTCTCGGTTAAATACAGTCTGGCATTCACGATGATTGATAATAAAGTTTGCAACGCAGTTTCAGGCACAAAATCTACTCTACGTTGTTATTTATGCGGAGCTACATCCAAGGAATTGAACAATATAGATGTGATTCTGCAAAAAGAAATCACTGATGAAACTAATTTACGGTTTGGAATGTCAACACTGCATGCCTGGATACGTTTCTTTGAATGCTGTTTGCATTTATCGTACAAACTCACGGTTAAGAAATGGCAAGCACGTACTGAAAAGGACAAAATAAAAGTAGAANAACGCAAACGAATAATTCAAAAAGGATTCCGATCGCAATTAGGGCTAATTAGCAATAGTCCAAAGCCTGGTTATGGAAGCACCAACGACGGAAATACAGCTCGCCGCTTTTTTGAAAACTCCAGTGTATCTGCTATAATAACAGGTGTCTCTGAATGTTTAATCAAACGGTTTTATGTAATTCTGCAGGCTATTTCAAGTGGTCATAATATTA